GTAGGCGACAGCAGCTGCGAGCTATTCCACGTCCATAAGCTCCACTTTTCCGGTTGAGAACTTGACCTTCCACTGATAGCGACCGCCATTTTCGAGCCAACGGTCGACATGTCCAGGCACATGCTCACGTAGCACTTGCCCCCTGTTCTTCACACTAAACTCCTTGGTCACGTGCCAGTGTGTTGGCGCGGCGGGGCTTTTCATGAAAAGCTGCTCCAGGTGCGAGACACCGAAGAACCGCGCGTCGCTTTTGTTGAACCGCGTGCGGGCGAGCGCGCCGCGGGATTTGAACTGACCTCCCGGGCGTCGTCGAACTGGCAGCACACTCAACAACGCGTCGATGCTGATCTTCTCGAGGAGCGCCATCGTCGCGACAATGTGCTCGCACATCAATCCTGAACGGGCGTGATCCGAGACAATCGCACACATAGCACTGAGCCACTTTTGGATTTTAGAATTAAGAACAGTCAGAAAGCTTCGCCTCCCCGAGTGAGATCAAGTAGTTAATTGTTTTGGAATTAAATTTGTGAGAACACCTCACAGTGAACCGGTTCATGCTCGCTGTTGAGTACCTGAACGCGGTAGAGTGACTGGTAGAGCAGTTGGGCCTCCGAAGCGCGTCCTCGTGGGATTGATGCACCGACAGTCGGAGTAAAGCTGGGCTCATCGGCTGGAAGCGGGGAGGCCGCGCCATCGTCGATGACTGCGAACGCCTCCGGCATGGCGACTTTGAGAGTACAACTGAACACCAAGGCAGCAACAGGAAACCCACTACTCGCCCCAACAAGCCTCTACCAACCACCGGCAGCCTCTACCATCCACCGGTCGCCACAGCCAACCATCGCTAGCCACAGCCAGCCACCAGCAGTCACAGGCAGCCATTGGTTGCGACAGGCATCAACTGGGACACCACATTTCCGTAAATAGCGTTTCCTAGTGAGCCATAAATAGTGTTCTCCGTGTAATCGGGAACTCGCAACTCATCCTTTTCGAGCCATGGACTCGCCAATCCACCCTTTTTCCCATTTGTACTCGCAAACCATCCTTTTTGAGCATGTACTCGAAGATCATCCTTTTTGTACTCCGATATAATCCGCACTCTTGGAGTCGAGCGTGTATCAAAAGGTTGCGAAAGAGCTGGAAAGGGTGTGCTTATTCACACCAACGGTTCGAATGGAAAATGTACAGGTCTCGAAGCACTTGTTGAGTTTTTTTTTGTCTCACGATTCGAGTTTCATTATTTCCCCTTATTTTAACGATGACGAGCTCGATTTTGCCGACCCTATTATAATAAGAGCGAATAGGTGAGATCTAATAGCCACAAGCTTTATTGAAATAAAGCAAATGAAACATCAGGCGCCGTGCGAACAACGATACCGGTGAGCTGCTCACTGTGAGCCTCACACGCATTTCACCGCTTGTAACTTTAAACAAGGTGAAGGTACCGCCCGCCGAGGGACACCTTCAGGTTGTAATACAGTACAAGTTGTACAACGTGTATCGCCTCATTTGTTTCTCACCATCTTACCCGCGGTGCCAGTCGTGTGTCAGAGTTGGATATCGCTGCGTGAGCTTGTTACATGGATCTTCTATTAGGGCCTTAGAAGTTCTAAGGCCCTAAGGATATCAAGTAAGCATAGGCTATGGATTCTTGCAAATCATTAGCACTACGTAAGTTCTGGATACGAGGACTGAAAGTAGTATGACCGTATTTGCGATGGTATAAGCTGGATGTGCATATCAGTTTATGGGCGGAGTCTGTACATGTATTGAAAAAACTGTTAAAACAAGGCGTTTGATACATTTCCGGAACACGTACTGTGGAACAAACCGGTACATGTTTTACAACAGAAATTATGAGGTGCTCTAAAATGGTCTTCAATAATTGTTCGGAAAAGTAACGATATACTTAAGCCAGTTAGTTTCAGTGGAAGGGGTGCGGGTGCGAGCGAGCATAGCCGTTGCCGTAGCACACCCGTGCCCTCAAAGCAGGGCGGCCGCCGCCCCGCTTTGAGGCCGCGGCGCGGTATTGCGGAGGCGGGTCCACGGGACCCGGCGCTGGACGGTCACCGTCTAGCGCTGAGCATCCTGAGCTGCAAAACGAGCATCGCATTTTTTTAGTACATTCTTTTTTGTAACGCGAGCGAATCGAACAGGGGGGCCACGGTTTGGTGGCCGCCAAGACAGCGAGGTGCGGCTGATTACTTTTATTAATAGACGTCGACTTCGGCAATGGCAAGTATTATTAATAATAGAGCCAATCTTCTGTCAGTTTAATTAGCAGCTAAAGATATTAAGCTTTTATTTTTAGAACAATTACAGCATTTTGAGAATTTTTAGAGAAAAACATTTGAGACGGCGCGAAACGAGCTGATCCTTACGAACCATTTAGAGTTATCGAGATAAACGGCTTTAAAGATTGACCACTCAAAAACGTAATTAAACGAATTTTTCAGTAGAGGCTTTTTTCCAAACGGACCCATTTTTTGGTGGTGTATCTTTTAGAACGAGCACGATGAACACCAGCACAAACTCTTCCAGCACTTCGGCTGTGGCCAGCGACGCCAGTACCAGGACAAACACTGCGCTTCGGCATTATGACAGGAATCTACTGGGCTCTCTTCTACCTGACCCGGACGCAACCGGCGGTGAAGGATCAGATGACAGTGTGTGGGAGCCGATATCAGGCGAATCAAGTGACGTTTCGAATGCTCAAGACGTTGAAGATGCCTTGGAGGACGCCTTACAGGATCATTCAGACGTAGAGTCTGTTGAGGACTTCTCAGTGGAGGGTAGGATCTTTTGGTCTGATGACCAACTTCGGGAGCACGTTACGAGTTTGATTCAGCAAGATCATTGCACGGAGAAGTGTCTTCAAGGCAAGGCAGCTGATCTTGAAAACTTTCTGTGCTCTTTGGGGCAAATGACTTCGCATGAAAAGAAGCAGAGCATCCTGACCTCGCTGGCGATGTTGACGAAGACAGACACCGCAACGTCGTCGTGGTAGTGGTGAACGGCAAGTCTTCTCGTTTTATTTACCGCTAATAGGGCGTGTGTGTCGGGATTCATGGTGCGCCGTGTATTGGATCTCCACGGCAACAATCACGCGCTACCGACGACAGATAAAAAGAGGTGCTTTCTCCGTCAACACACACCGGGTCCAGCTTAACTTTAACGCCGCTACGATAGACATCCGTTGGTTGGTGAGCTGGTTTCGAATATTCGCCAAGACTCTGGGAGACGTCGTCCCGGTTAGATTTCGAACGCAGAAGACGGCTGACGGAGCGGTCCGCAAGAAATATACTGACGAGAACTATACGCTGCTCCCTGCCTACTTCCTCTGGGACCAACTCTACAATGAGATGCACAACTAAGTGGTGGAGAACGACTTGGAGGTGAGGGAACCTCGACCATCAACTTTCCGACAGCTTTTACAGAAACATTGTCCCCTCATTCGAATCCGATCTCCTCGCAGCAACGTGTGCGACTTCTGTTCTATATTGTACGTACGTATGCGCTCTCAGGTCACTGCAGAACTCACCGAAGAGCTTGGTGCTCACACTGCCGCAGCTAAAGCTATGAGGTTTGTACACAAGAATCATTCTGCTTCACGAAGGATTCTAAGATCATTCTGATTTACTATGAGCTTTTATATAGGTTAGAGTACCAGAAAGACTTGCATAGATGTAACTACGGACAGCACAGCCCAGCCTAAAACCTGCAAACAAACACGCAAGCGTGCCAGGAAAGAAACGTAGGCCCATAAAGGCACTAAATGTTAGCAGCAAAATGAAATGATCCTTCTAGCCCGTACCCATTTGTTTTTAAAATAGGCTGTAAGTACCCAAAACAAATAAAAATATCCCCTCAAATTTGGGCCCCAACTGGTAAAGACCTTCATTTGAAGCAGCAGGAAGTCGAATTAGGACGCGGGAATAGGCTCAAACGATGCGGATACGTTAACTACACAAGAAATGTAAAACAATTTTTTTTCTTATGTTTGTCTTTCTGGGGGGCAACTTTTTTGGTGGACTCGAGCTCCTTCACTTTTTAACTTTTTAGAAGTCTGAAGGCATCATTTGAAAAGAGGAGATCCTCCTCTTTCGAATGGTGTGCCTAAAACGCGATTCGTACTTAGGTTTGTAAGCTTCGCGCCGTATAAGCGCTCTGTATCAATACTTCTACACGATGTAGTCATGCAGTCATGCAGTCTTACAACGCTGACTATGCATGCAGCATCTACCGCATACTGGTACATTCACAATTTGTGCAGCACAGGACCACCAGACGATACATGTACAAACTAGACAAAGCAACGTGGAGCGGGACTACTGTTTAGCGACCTCCTCTGAGGTCCTCAGTGAGGAGTCTTTACGACTCGTAATACGAGCGGCTGGGTGGCTGTCGTAAATGTGCTGCCACATCGCAGACATCCTAGATGCTTCCTAAGTTAGGAATTCTAACGGAGATGCTGCGCCGGACCCTCTCACGAGGTCACATTTTAAATATTCACATCCACGCAACACCGGTTTCTTGCTGTTTACGCCCGCACAATGGTAAACCCCTCAGGCAAAATTAACATATTATCGCCCGAGGGTGCTGGCATCTCCCCGCAGCCTAAAGGTTTTGAGCCCATGAAGACCCCTCAGGACATCGAAGGCGGTGCACTTCGTGCCGGCGGTGCCATAAACGTCTGGAGCCGCGAGTACATCGGTATCGTTGTGCAGTACGCTGCTGTGGGTATGATCTACGGTACTCTACCCGGCACCGTCTACCCTTTCCTTTTCAACTACTTGAACATGGAAAGCACCCAGGTGGTGTCGGCCACCGTGCTGCTCAACCTGCCGTGGTCATTCAAGCTCTTCTACGGTATCATTACGGACTGTGTGCCGATCATGGGTTATCGTCGTCGTCCGTTCATGATCATCGGTTGGACTCTGTGCTTCATCATGCTGCTAGTGATGGCGTGCATGAAGGCCGGAGACCCGTACTACCCAGAGTACGCCTACGCTTCGATGAACGTCACCACATTGTCGCCCGAGATCGTCGCCTCCTTCAACACGGACGCACCCTCCACTGGCAGCAAGTTCATCGTTCTCATGATGCTTGCTGCTATCGGTTATGTTGGTGCTGACGTTGCTGCTGACGCCATGATGGTTGAATTTGCCCAGCGGGAGTTCGAAGCTACGCGTGGTTACACTCAGACTACGATCTACATGGTCCGCACTGTGTTTGTGACTATCTCCAGCATTTTGACTGGTTTCGCGTTCAACGGCACTCACTATGGTGGTGATTTCGACTTCTCATTGAGCTTCCCACAGCTCATGATCATTCTTACTGTCGCGTGTCTACCCGTTATGCCTCTCACGTGGTATTTCATTAAAGAGGAGAAGCATGAGGGTATGGTGTTTAGTACCTACCTAAAGGAGCTTTGGATCCTCATTCAGACGCGTCCGATGTACCAGGTCATTGCGTACAAGTTCTTCTCCGGCATTTTCGAAAGCTTCACGATCACTTCGTCGTCGGCCATGCAGGACTACTGGGCTGGCGTCACGCCGCTAAACGAGAAAACTCTTGCCATTATTGGTAACGGCATCTTCGCTCTTACCCTCTACTGCAAGGGCAAGTATGGTCTCCACTGGAACTGGCGGTGGATGCACGCCACTATGATCGTTGCTGTGACTGTGTTGGACTCTCTTGTGACGCTCCTCACAACGTGGGATGTCATTCGTAACCAGTGGTTCTGGCTGGGTGTTCCGGTCGTGGAAAACCTTCCGAGTGGTTTGGCTTTTGTCATTGGAACGTACGTGGTCGTGGAGCTGGCTGAGGACGGCAATGAGGGTGTACGGTCTGGTTGCCAACCAACCAGTGGTTGGATCCGTCTCCAACCTCGCTATTCCTTTCGCCAGCACCATCACTAAGAATGTGGACAGTGCATTCGATGTAGCCAACGCAGATATTGCCAGTGACACTACTCACGTGCGTTGGGAAGTCACCTACATTCTCATCATTCGCTATGCCATCAATCTGGCCGGTCTGCTCTTCCTCCCACTGCTGCCCAAGCAGAAGGCCGAGACCAATGAATTCAAGCGCAACGGGGGCTCAAGCCGCATTCTTGGTTTGATGACAATCGCCTACTTCGCCTTTGCCCTCGTGTTCTCCACTATGGTCAACATCATGTCCATCTTCCCGTCAACCTCGTGTCTGCGTATTGCTGGAGGAACCGGCTGCTAAAAAATAAAAGCAACTTCAAAGTCACTCAAAATGTCATTGTAGCGAGTTCTGTTTGAGTGATGGTCACGCAAATTGTTGCTGCGCAACAGAAGCTCACTTGACGATCTTCTGTCTTGCGCATTCGTCTACAGCGCCATGGCCTCGAAGTCTCCACCGTGTTCTGCCTTTGCTGCTCCTGCTGCTCGTCTTTCTGACGAGTTGTGCTGCTTCTTGGACGCTTTAGAGTGTGATCGAGCCGCCAATACGGTCGAACACATGCGCAGAGGTCGTCAACAGCTCGAGGCGTTCCTGCTGCAGCAACATGGCGGTTCTACAGCTTTCGAGCAAGTGATAGACAAGGAGTCATCGCAGTGGAAAGAACATGTGGAAAAGGCGAAGGAAAATGACGACGTAAGGGTACAGCAGCGTAGTGTGCTACCAGAGCTATTGCCTGGACTGCAACACCTGAATGACATAAAGGTGGGGAAACCGGGAAGACCTGACGATGCTGTGTACCTCAAGGATCAATACGCCAGAGAGTGGCTACCACGTGGCAATTGCATCGCAGAATGGAAGACTCAAGAAACGACCTATTTCTTTCCGCTTATCCGTGGATACAGGAAGTTCACAGGCCAAGAGGATGACGGGGAGCTCAAGAAACGGACAGGGAAGGAAGCGGAGGAGCTGTCCAAGTTCTTTACTAAACCGCAAATTCAGAGCAAGTGGGTAATCTCTACCACTAAAGAGAACGGCGAGGCAGGTCACTTGTCCGTAATTAAGCGGAGTGACGGCGAGTTCGTCTACGTGCTTGGGTCCAAGAACACGCACCTGATAGCGCAAACAGTTGAAGATGTTGAACGGACTCGAGATAGTCAGAAGAAAGAAAGCGGCGATCCGTTCTTTGCCGCGGCACCGATTGCAATCGCCATACTGCGAATGCTGCTTGCACTAGAGCCGGCGAAGCGTAATCTTCTCAGTGAATTCTTGTGGCAGACGCGCGCCACCGCATCGTTCGAGGTGTTGTGTCCTAGCCACCAACACGTACAGCTGTTAGATTACTTGTCAGAAGACACGCCGGTGTTCTACGGCCTCTCTCTGATGACTTTGAACACTCTGGAGGAGACCGAGATCTGTGTGAACCCAGTGCTTCCGTACGAGTTCATGCGCGCGCTTGGAGTCCGCACAGTGAAATACGATATCGTCGAGTTCAATGAGGATGCATTCTCGGCAGCTCTTGAGCGCAGTAAACGTGCCTACCAGCATGAAGGTGGTGTCCATTTGTTCTTAGACGACGACGCCTCTGTCATTGGGATGCAAAAGCACAAGAGTGTCTGGTATGTGTGTCTGCGTGCCATCCGAGAGAAAGCCAAGACGTTCTGCCGAATACTAAACTCCAAGAAGCCTCCGAAAGGTAGAGCCAAACCTGTGACTTCGAAAAAAGCGCTGGCTATGGGTAAGGAATTCATGAGGAATCGTTTCCAAGCTATTCCAGGGTTTTTCAAAATCTCGAACGAAGTCTCCGACACTTACGAGGCACTCGGCGAACAGTTCCTTGAGTATCTGTTTGTAAACGAGCTCTTCAGTGGAGAAGCAGTCGGTGTAGAGCAGGAAGAGAAGTGTAAGCAGGTTGCTCGAGATGTCGCTGACCTCTTCCCCGTCGTGTGGAAAAGATTCCTTATTCAAACCGGTGCGAGCGATGTCGTCGAGCAGCAATAGACATAGAAACATCATGGAATTTATACGGTCCGATATACCTACCTACTTACTCGTGTGAGCCGAACTCGAGGATCACCTCACAGTTTAGTTGGCTTTGTCTTGCCACCACCACGTCTTAACGGTGCCGTCATGGGAGCTTGAAGCAAGCAACGCCTGCTTTTCGTGCCATCGCGCATTATACGTAACACCACGGTGACCAGAAAGGCGTTCCAGCAACTTGCCCGTAGCCACTTCCCACACGTACACGTAGCCATCCTCCGATCCACCCAGGACAAAACTCTCGCGTGGACCGAAGGATGCTCGCACGATGTTTTTCGCTGTGTTTTGATGTCCCTTGAAGCGCTGGAGGGGGCGTTGCTCTGCATGGTGTATACCTGAGAAGCCGGTGCTTCCACCACTAATACTTCCACTTGCGCTTAGGTTGCCACTGCTACCATAACCAGCGCCTCCTGAAATTCCAACTCCATTGGCGGAAACGTAGCCCGATCCGTAGCCATTCACGACGCCTCCGTTGCCTCCGATCGAGAAACTACTGAGAGACCCACTTGATCCAGTCGATGCACCACTACTCAGTCCAGTTGACAGGTGAGCACGTGGAGTGTGAAGCATTCGCAAGTCCCAGAGACGATTACTGTTGTTACGTGAGCCACTTAGCAGTGTGTAGCCATTTGAAGCCATCGAGATGGACGTGACTTCTCCAAGTGTCTGACGTAATGTGTGGACACACAGTCCACTAAGGATATCCCACAATCGAATGGTGCCATCTTTTGAGCCGCTCACAATGAAGTTGGCATGTCTGTTAAACTGGACATCGCACACGGACGCAAAGTGATTGCGGAAAGTCTTGACCACTGCGCCAGTAGCAATATCCCACAAGCGCACACTCTGGTCGTAGCCTCCAGTCACCAAATGCGTCTCACTGGGATGCAAGTTCACTGTGTACACATCGCCACCGTTTGGACTCATGAGTGTGGCTAGACACTCCGATGACGTCACCGAGTAATTGTGAGGCAATGTTGTAGCAGCAATCGCGGAGGTGGCACCACAGGAAACATCCGCTGCAGCAGACTGCATGACGTTAGATCCACGCTGACCGTTTAACAGGTCGTCGCCATCATCCAGAGCCTGCTGAGCGACAGCACGCTCTTCTAAAGCTGCACGAAGATCCCAAACCTTCACGGTCCCGTCACCCGATCCGGAATAGAGACGCTCCCCCGACGCACTCGCAGTAAGATACCAGATTCTGGACGAATGGCCAAGCAGATCTCGCGTCCATTGACGACAAACAGTGCCAGTGGTCTCGTCCACTTGCTCTTCGCCGCTCTCCTGATGCGTATCGGGCAGTTCAGTCGGCCAGAGCTTAATCGTGGCATCGCTGGATCCAGACGCCAATAACTCACCGTCCGTTCCCACGAACGTGACAAATTTTACATTCTGCGAGTGACCAACGTAAGTGCTTTTGACTGCGTTCGGCAGCACCTCACATTCGAAGTCTCGAAGTAACGTCGATACCTTGGGGATAGTTTTGGGATGATATCGACTGAACTCCATCTGATACGCCACACTTTGGTGCAGTAACTGCACTAGCCTGTTGTCTGGCATGGCCACCGGTGGAGTCGTCATGGCCGCATCTCCGTCCTGTTGGGGAGAGATGACTTCTTCCAGAGCGAAGGTAGCTCTCAACTGCTCCACAAGCTTCTCTCTTGACCTAACGACCCCCTCCCAGTCACGGAAGGCGTCTGACTCTCCCACAGCTTTGCATGTGAGCAAGTAACAGAGCTCTTTGAACTCGTGGCGACTGGAGCTCGTGGCCACCGCCACCTTCTCCAGCGGCTTGAGGTGCGTGGTGAGGAAGGTGAAAGCCTTCTGATACTCTTGTCGGTCGATGAGCTCTAAGTATTCCTGCTTGCATACAGCGTAGAGGAAGCCCTGGTGGGCGGCGTGAAACTTCTTAAGGTGCTTGCCCAGAAGTTTGGCTACGAGGTCCCAGTCCCCGTCCATAATAGCGGATCCTAGACGACGCAATGCGTCCCGCTCCTGTAGTCTGCCGTGGGACTTGACATTGGCCTCGTCCTGGATCGTAGCGCTAGACATGGCAAAGCCTTCCTGCTGCAGGTACTGAGTGATGAGCGCCAGCAGCTCCTGCTTGATCTGCGCGTCCTGTTCATCGAAGGTCGCCTCCGGAGAGATACTAGTGCGGTGATGGCCCACATGAGACCATTGCGCAGCCGCGGAACTCACGGGGCTCGCGCTGGTCCGCCGGCTTGCGGGGGGTAGCGGAGGCGTCGGTGCATCGCTCATTAGCTGCGAAAGTGAAGTCACTAATTAGATGAGTGACAAATTAGAGCAATCATTATGGTACAACAAGTTGACTCATATTCCGTGTTGCAGCACTTCCATCGGTGCTGCTAAAGCTAAGTAGTTAAACTCTTCCTTTCCTTCAGTTTCGTGCTCTACTGCTTCGAGCACGACCCTGGTATGCTTCTAGTTGACTCATGAGAGGTCACTCCTACCTCGGCCAACGAGACTGGGACGGTTGAAGACCTCAGCCAAGTTGAAGCTGCTCAAGCTGCCGAAGCTACTGGCCAGGCTGCTTTGTCGAGACACGACGCTCGAGTAGCAGCTGGAATTAGCGGTCATGGACGACAGCCGAGCCCAGTATACGTCGATGTCTTCTTCGCTCTCTTCTTCTAACTGACCCACGAGTTCCTCCCTCGCGATGGGCATCACATCGCAGCTCTCCACTGCATTCATGCAAGGCACGCAAAATGCGCGCTTCCGCTCCAGTATGGTGTGTTGGTCAGGCGCGAGAGCAACGACCGTTTTCTTGACGGCACACTTCGAGCATACTGGCAGCTCGCAGCTCGTGCAAGTCCGTCGGATCGACTGTAAGAAGCTGGATGCTTTGTGGCACACGGCGCATCGAATAGGTCCGCTAGAGCTTGCTGGTCGATGCCTGGCCGTTGGGGCTACAAAGTCGTCCAAGTCATCGGCGAACGAATACGTTCGAGAGGACTGAGAGCTCCACCCGCAGTTCTTGCGTACTTTCCAGGACAATTTCTTGGCTAGAGCACACGAATTCTTCCGTGCGTATGCCGACCACTGCGTCGCGATAGTCTGGAGTGACATGTTCTTGAGCACCTCATTTTTCGTGTTGAAGTCGAAGAAGCCACGAACGTAGCACTCCACTGTCGTGGGTGTCTTTTGGCGGTACAGTGCGCACACGGACATGTTTCCTCGCTCGATGCCGTGAGATCGCTCAAAGCTCGGGATGTCCGACAGAGCCACCGAGTGTGAAATGCTATATCCTACTCGTTCGCATCCACCGACTTGAGTGATTCCTGTTGCATCGAGAGACACGTAGTCACGTCCCTCGTACAGTCGCCATTTTACGGCGACGGTACGGAACGGGTCGTGAAAGCTTGGCTGGACGATCTCGTACAGCACCTTGCTGTCTCGAACGTTGTCCTTCGTGCAGGCAGACTGAATCCTCATGGCCTCGTCCGTGGTTGCCACTGCTCCATACATGACCTCTTCTAACTTCCCCTCGATAGTACCTAGTAGTAGAAGCTGCGGTGTTGCTGGACACTGTGCAGTAGACGTTAGGCGCTCATTGTAGATGCGCACATTGCCTCGCCGTCGAACTTCACGCCAGCGTTGGGGATCGGCACGACCGTCTTTCGTCACCACGAGAGTATTATACTGGGAGATGTTATGTCCTGCGAGTGTGTCTGCAAGGTGCTGCAGCATGTTACAGTCCTGCCTAGATATGGTAGGCTCTGGTAGCAAGTGCACGAGCCTCATGTTTGCCGTTGCTTTCTAAAATGGCAATGCGCCGTGACGACTAAACTCTACGCGAGTTCGATGGTCTTCTTCAGTGTGCGTGCGAAGCAAACGGCGCATTTTTGAGAACAAATTATAGCTCAAAGGCCAGTGGGTGCCTTAGAAGAGTCAGCAGACAAGAATAATAAGCTGTGAGTCGTCGGACCTCCGGACTTTACCACGGCGATACAGGAACGGAGCTTCAGGAACATGCTGCTGACCAGCGCCAAGCTACTTAGGCCAGTGCTGGCGGGCACAATTAATTATAATAAGCATGGTATCGAACGATCGTCATGGTGCCCCACCGAACCTCGGTAACGCCTCAGCTGACCTTGCGGTGCGTCTGGACTCAACATGCACCCCGTAGGCAAGTACAATAGTAGCGGGACAAGCAGTCAGACTTTGTTGCCTTTTCGAAAGTACTCACAGTTACTGGTGCTCGCTTCTGAGCACTTGTCAGGTTGGATCCGGAGTCAGGTGCTCCTGTTGCCCGCGGTGCTGGCCACGACATGCCCTGGATTTTGACTTAATGCATTCAGAGAGCTCAGACTGAGGTCTATCTTGGATATTACGCAATGAATCGCCAAAGCCACCGCACCGTACAGTCAAAAGCTTGCGGAAACCTTGGAGGTTCGACACCCGACTGCTCCAACATACGTGTGCGTGATGCAACTTCCCACAAAAGAAAAAAAGAGTGCCAACTTCATCTGCGCATGCAAACGAAATGCTTAAAGCGCAGCGTCCGCTTTCCAACCCAATCCGTTGATGCATTAGCTTGCGTGCGCAAGAATATAAGTAGTCGGCACGTAAATGAATTAGACTGGTCGAGTGCTGTTGTGCGCCTCATCTATAAAGTATCACAAGATTACTTTCTCCTCCAAACAGCTATGCAGCTGACACCCACTTAAGAGTCACTCATTCGAATTTAGGTGCTGCTGTTCATGAAGACCAACCTCACCAAATGTGGCGTTGTTCATGCTCCATGGCTTGACGCTTCCAATCCATCTATTGATACAAGCCCTCAGAGAACGTCCGATGTGCACGTCGCACAACAGCAAGCAGGGTTGGCAGAATCTGCAGTGCCCAGACATCAATTACTGCTCTGCGCTGGTTTCGTGCACACGAGTGCTTCCTGTCATTTGGTCGGAACAGGTGCACAAGTTTGGCGCCAAATCAATTTGGCTGTACTGAATTGGCGCTGAATGGGTCTAAAATGAGCGATGCACTAGGCGCGGAGTAGATCTTAGTGGCTTGCCACGATGGATACGTCTTTACAATTTTTAAGATGTTGACATATCACACGCATAAAGTGATTTCTCCGACTCCATGAGGCATGCGCATGGTAAATATGGCAGTTAGCAAGCTGAAAAATGGCAGGTTATTTCTAGGGCTCACTCACATAGTTTCGACCAATAACAGTACGAGAATCGTATGGGTGTCGGCGTGGCCGATTAATGCATAAGTATATAAATTAATGAACATTTAAAGCAAATCTTGAATGCACAGACTATTAACTGTATGTAAAAAAAGTCCTAACGTAAAATTTGTATAGGAAAAAAAAAGATCGGTGTATGTATATTTGTACAAGATCCTGCAATCGTACGTATTATGGACCCACATGCTTTATATCCAGCATGGTGAGTAGATTCCGTAAAGCCCGTACGCGACATCGAGCATGTGCAAATGGCTGTTTTATTGGGAATGAATCGTTTTTGACGGAGTCACGTACAGAACGGCTACGAAAGCAAATTTGTGTATTGCATCTGTTTGCTAAAAGCAAGTCATTTGGGCTATTACTTACGCAGCTTCACTGCTTCCTACTCTTGGTGCTCTCTCTCTACCGCGTCGTCACCCCCAGTTTCCGTTGTCTCGTTCTGATCACTATCAGAATTCTCACCACCATCGCTTCCCTCATTGCCGAGCCCTGCGGCTTCCTTTTCGTTCCCACCGTCCCCCTCCTCTTCACGACCCCCTTGTCCTCCCGTCCACTTTTTTGGTGGCACCCTCAGCTGGATACCGCGGTCGTGGCGCGGCTGTGGGGCGCTCGCTTCCATTACGCCAAAGCTGGTGCCAAATGGAGAAGCAAGTCTGGTTGTTACTTGGGTAGTATGCTTGGCGCACCTTGTCGCACAAGCAGACAATGCATTATACGTAAGTAGTAAGAACGATAGAGCATAGAAGCGTACCGTTTGAAACCTTTACTGCAACCGAGACAGTAGAATCGCGTCACCTGCCGCTCTGTACTGCTTGTTTTCCGTATAGTACAGACCTTGCACTGCCGTTGATGCCGCTTTCGAATTCCATTCACCTCCACCCACTCGTCGTCCATCTTTAGCTGGTGGGTGGACGGTGGAACGTTGCCAGGCAATGGTGTAGCTGGTCTCGGTGAGTACATCTTTGGACACATACAGTATGAGTTAGCAATGTGAACAACCAGCAGAATAAGCTCCTTCCTTACCGTGTCTGCAAATTCGGCCGACCCCACTTGTAGTAGCTGGGCTTGCAACTGAGCGATGAAACCGGTTAGTTTGAATAGTCCCCACAGAATAGACGTTCCTCTCAAGAAGTTGTAGCGAGCTTTGTATCTATTAGATTAGATAAACCAGACCCTTCTACGATGCGCCAATTGTCAATGATGCCCTTCCAGCGTTCGGCCTCCTCCTTACTTCGTGGAGGTCGCTGTCCTCCGCGACGGTTTGTTGTAGAAGCTGCGCCAACTGCAGGTGTAGAACTTGATGAATCGCCAGTTTGAGGTGCATATAGTGACAGTTCATCATGTCGCTCTCGCTTGGGATCTCATCATCCACATCAGCTTTAAAATTATCCGTGTCCTCGTACCATTCAGCTGACCCAGTGTCTGAATCATCGTAATCCGAATCCAATGCACCACCATCATAGATGGCATCATCTTGTCGGGAATCTTGACGGGAATAGAGAGGAGGCGGGGTTGTGGGAACCGTAGTAGTGTGAATAACAGTAGATATATTCAGTGACCTTGCAAAATCAACAGTAATATACAGCATGCTGTCAGAAATAAATCTCGCACATGCTTGATATCCATCATGTGACAGCGTACCTGGCAGCCGAAGATCGAGGTGGCGTTAGCGATGAAGTCTGTTGCGCAGAGGAAACACCTTCCGATGTCGGTGCCTGCGTTGTGTTTGCTGCACATGGCGGAGATGGCGACGTGTTGCTATAGTCCTCATCGTCACCAACAAACGCATCGCTACAAACAATTACGAACATGAAGTGTGAGAAACACATCGTCCGCAAAACGCATAATCTCCTCACCTGACGGCTTCTGCATCAGCAGCAACGTGTGGGCTAGTTGACCGCGCAGATTTGTCAGCTCTTGAGCTCTTGGATGGTTCTTTTTCGCCGCCTTCTTCGGTGTTGTGATCCCTGCCGCTGTCGCCATGTCAAACTCAGCGTCGATATTTCCTTGGTTGTCTGCCGTTCGCACGTAATCTTTGTCTCCGCTGTCACTCCCATCCTCATCAGTAGAAGCAGTATCGACAGCAAGCGTTTCTGCATACAGTGCTGCGACTGGCTCCTTTCCTTTCAATCGCGGCGCTCTTGCCAGCAACTGTAATACCTCATTAGTGCGCCCTTCTTCTGGTACGTAGCTGAAGCAGGAGGCTTGCGTGAAGCCACTGTCAACCTATGCCGCCTTCCTGTCGTTTCTGACGTAGGAGCCGAAACAAGCGGTTCATCCGCAACTTCGTCGCCAAAGTCAGCATCGCGGGCACGCGTACCGTCGACATACGCACGGTGCTCTTCAAGCAGGCGGGCGCGGTCTGGGCCTTCCTTTATCTCGAGACGACGCAGGAACGCCTCCGCTTCAGCGCGCGTGACGCGTCGGGGAGGCATCTTGGTCCCGCGTCTCGTTTGGAGAATGAATGGATGGCTCAGAGGCTTATCGTTTGAAGCACTGTCTTTACGGCAGCGTATCTCCAAGGTACTTTCTCTTTACAGTTACGACCCGAAGCCCTGTATATTGGGGACTAAACGGACTAAAAGCCCATTCTATGACGATCCCCACATGCTTCCTTATCAAGCATGTGGAAAAAGTCACATGCTTCCTTATCAAGCCTAAGTGCCGGGGGGGGTTAATGCATAATATATGGGAGCTCGAGCGCGGGTGAAAATGCATAATGTATGAAAAGAAATTTTATGCCTTCATACTTTAATAATAAAGCGACTCGCTATGTTTAAGCACCGGGGTCCGACAACTCACAGTTTTTTTTTTTATTGTCGACTGACTCTTCGAAGGCATCTTCCACTGGCCTTTGGTCTACACTAGAGCTATCGACGTCGCGACCTTTGGCACCTATTCGACTTCGACGACACCGGACGTCTGATATTTTGCACTCGATGTCGCGTTGCACCACGCCAGGGCTCCCGATAATGGCATTAATCGTAGTTCAAATTTCGAGGCTCTCATACATTACGCATTTGAATTCGAGAAACCTGTCCATACATAATGGTCATTAATGGAAACCACATATGTGATGGCCTTTACATACAAAAACTAATATATTAGTTTTTGTATGTAAAGTATAAAGTATGTTTGGCCGGCCAATCAAATCTTCGCGTCCCGTCTCCAACCTTCGTTGGAAACGTGGAAGGTTGCAAACAACCAGCGAAGGTTAGCTATGATTGGTGGAAAACCATGTCAGGAGGTTTGGTTTGAATACATGTATTTCCAGTTTCACGTTTTTGCACGGTTTTGGCCCTCACAGTTGACGGATGAATAATTGCCTTAATTGGCTGACCAAACATACTTTCTTTCCAACCGTGATAAGCCTAGTACTTCGATTTGCTTTGTAATCGTCCAGAACGACAAAACTGTAGCGCTGATGGTGCAGATTGCATCCCTTGGTACACTCCGAGTGTTAATTTAAATTAGAGGGTGTGGGAGATTTTCAAAGCAAATTTGGTCACATAAAGCGTTTTTCACCCAACCAAATTTGAGCGTAATCTTAGCAATTTTAAGAGACTTTCTATACAAGGGGATCTGGCCAGAAGGATAGCACACCTTTAATTACTTGATTAAAGTAAGCATATTATGTACATATGATGTGGTGCGTGGTGAATAAATCACCATGCAAATTTTGTATGGGATGAAGCGCTTGAGTGACTCAAGTACGTTTCTTGCCACCTTACCCTCTGCTGAGTAACCCTTTCGGTCAGGATCTAAAACAGGGCAGCCTTTGAAACTGACAAGTATTTGCTCTACAGTATTTCACTGTGACACGGACAAAGCCGATCGAAATAGAAAACTGCAAACGGTTGCAGTAGGTTGAAGTCGAAAGAGCGAAATCAAGGAATTTGTTCTTGTTCTCTGTCGATAGCTTCGTCCACATCGTGTGTCTCATAAACCTGCAGCCTGTGACGCTAGATTAATGCGCTCAGCAAAGCCAACACACCACATGAACCTTGCCGTCACTCTCACAACTCCATGCTGACTTATAATACTTCCGCTAGTCGATCTTTAACGACATTAGTATAATGGATTAGTACATATTACGTAATCGTTGAAAAAATAATATCGTATAATACGATTCGTATTAGCTACATGTAATATTAAGTTGATTTTAAATAATATCATTTTGTCTCAAAATAAAAACCTGTTATAATTTTTATAATAACCGATGTACCAGGTGATTTTATCACTTTTATAATATTAATAATAAAAAGACTGCGTTAAACAAGATGATGCTTACGAACCTAAGTACGAATCGCGATTTAGGCACTCTAAGGGCCGTTCCGAACCGGGGTCGCGCCCCGAGGACCAGCCTGTGACTGGCTGACCTGAAGTGCTACTTCGTGATTACTACATCAATGCGATCCGAGGCACAGATCGCGCGCCGGCCGGGATCGCGGGATCGCAGAGGCGCGGCAAATGCACAGATGATCGCTACAAGCAGGATGGAAGGCGAGACATCGGCTAGTGTACGTCGCCGGTATCTAATAGGACTACTTGTCACCGCCGCTGCCATTTACCCAGCAGAACCGAGAGCGTGTATAAAGCGCCGACGCTTGAGCTGGAATGTCCACAAGCAGACATTGCTGCTGGAAGACCAATTCAAGCGTTGTTACAGAATGAGTGTGGACTCCTTTATGCGTCTGTTGATGCTAATTCGGCCGTCTATATCGCGCGATGAGCTCCAGTCTTCTCGGCGTACTTCTACAGATCCAATCTTGCCGGAAAACATGCTGCAAAAGACGATTGCTTGGCTAACCGCTAGCAGCTATCACACAATTTGCTGCTTAGGCGGCACATCTGTTTCCGGTACATATGATGTATTTCACGATGTCATGAACGCAGTTTGTGACTGCTTAGAGCTTCGCATACAATCTCCCGTGGCGGCCGAGCAGCGTATCCATCTGCTAGCCGACAGCTTTGACAAGATTAGCACGGACGGGATCTTGAGTGAATATGTTGGCTGTATCGATGGGTGGCTTTGTCAAATAAGGGCCCCGAGTGCAAACGAGGTGCCAGACGTTGCAGCATTCTTCTCAGGGCATTATCAAATGTATGGCTTGAATGTACAGGCCATTTGTGACCCCCACTGCCGTTTTACCGGGTATTGTTTTAATTCTCCTGGAAAAGTGGGAGACTCAATTGCGTTCAAGAAGTGAAGCCTAAGAAATGACATACTTAAGCTACCTCCTGGATTTTACATCGTTGGCGACAATGCGTATCCACTATCAGACTCCTTGTTGGTGCCGTTCACGAAGCTGGAGCTCAAAGGCAAAGCGTACTCTGACTTCGACTTCTTTCTAAGTCAGCTGCCATTCGCATTGAAATGTCTTTTGGGTTGTTAGTGAACAAATAGCAAATAATTTCGCGACCACTTGTAGTTGATTTCAAGAGCGTTGGCAAAGTAATTAAAACGTGTATGAAGTTTCATAACTTCTGCATCAACGAGCAACTCAAGAGCCACGACACGACAGCACACTTACGCACGTTATCGACGGAGTATCACACCTCACCGAGAGCTCTTACCAGCCTACCGACAACTTCATTGACGCGGACGGTTTACGTAGCGACGCACAAGGCCGGATTCTCCGCCAAGTTCTCGTGAATCACATTCAAAATTTTAATCTTCGACGTCCTCGTGTGCACTAGCGGCTACCGAAAGAGCAGACCGCTACTGCTAAAGGCGATTCAAAACATCCACTCCAGCTGATCGATATGTTCTTCTAGTATCAGCTTCCTCTTGGTGCGCACGGCTAGAGCTTTTCCAAGTTCGTCTGCATTAATTCCTTGTTGAACGTACTGTTCACGTAGCTGCTTCAATTCGTGAATAGCGGCAACGTTGCGCTCCAGGATAGCCGTCAGTGCCATTAGCTTTTGAGCAGCTCGTTCCTTTTGAATAAAACGTAATTGCTCCACCCATGTGTCCTCTAGCGTTTTACTGGACTCGCTCTCTAGCAATTCATTCACGGTCTCTATAAGCGCGGTCACCATGTCTGGTTAGAACCCTTCGCGCTTCTTTCTATTTTCGTTTTTGGACTTGTGCCCATCGCTTTCTCTGGTTGAATCATCATCGTCGTCGAAGTACAGGTTGGCGGCACAGAACTCCCGTCCAGACTGACGATGCTCGCACCACCGATCCAAGTAGTAGACATCAGCACGTCCATTGTAAAACTCCCAGAAATCGTAGCTGTTTTGTCCAGACGTTTTGGACCCGGCCTCAGCACGTGCAAAGTTGCTGCTCACCTCCTTCCACATCCTTTGTAGCTTATCAGCCGAATGCGAAGTCACACATGAAGCATCCACGTCTTCGAACACTTCGTCGTCGGAGATCAATGCATCGTACTCGCCGTCGTCGGTACTGGAGGCCGTGGCAACGTCGATTCACTAGGTCGAACCGCCCTGGGCCAGCTCATCCGGCCGGAGTTGATGGCCGGTCTCCAAGAACGAGGTAAAGAAGTTGTCGGAGAACAGGATGTTTAGAAGGCGTAGCATGCAGCCTTTTGTTGTTCTCTTTGCCTCCTCTTCGCGCTGACCTTTTGATCGTTTGCGCTGTTGGCGAACCAGCACCTCGACACCTTCTTTGTTTGAATCCCAAGCCTTAAGAAGCTTCACATGGTCTCTTCTGCATGTATTTTTCACGACGTTCAGTTTGCGGGCAGTGCATTCCATCATGATCTGCTCGAGAGTCCAGTCGTCAAAGTTGTATGACGTTGGCGTGATGATAGGTCGCTTGCGCGCTGTCTGCGTCTCCGCCACAGTCCATTTTAAGCTTGGTGCGTCCGTCATTTTGCTGTTCTGGGCGGCAACTTCTGCCATCAAGATGTACCAGATTAGAGGTACATAATCGTCTGGAGCGCGATCTGGCTCGGAACGGCAGGATCGCGACCCGTTCTAGCCTTGAAGCATTTACCCTACCCCTTTGGGGTGCGAACCCGGTTCAGAACGGCCCCAAACGAAAGCGGGGCGTCTCCTCCATCTCTTGAGCCCTTACAAGCTACAGAATGCTTAAAACTGAAGAAGTTATGGACGCTTAAAAATATTTTCTCCATTTATGGGCCCTCGAAATGACGACATTTAGAAGTGTTGTGAGCTCAATGTTTTTTTCAATTCTAGAGATTTAAGTGTCATTGAAAAGCCCTTGTTAAAAGCAATTGAATAAGAATACTCTTATAGTTTTTTCGATGGTAGTTTACAACAGATGTCACAGTTTCGGTTAAGTGCGAAAGTTACTTGGCCAACTTTAAGCTCGATTATCTCGATAACTCCAAATGGTTCGTAAGCATCATTTTG